ATTTATGAATGCTACGATGCCGAATGGCATTGGCTCAAGATCACTGAGGACTGGCTTGTTCGCATAAACAACTGGTTGCCTCCGTGGGTGTATCACTGGGGGAGTGATTGATCTTGGTTGCTTGTGATCCTTTGTTTTGTACTGTTGAATTTTGCATGGTAGCGGAGCTTCGGCTCTGAAGACAGGGAAAGAGTGAAAGACAATGGACTTCGGAGTGAGAGGAATCGGGAAGTCAAATTGTTCCCACCTCCAGTGTACCACGGTGAACTGGAGAAATGGGAAGACTCGTCATGGCAGCAGAAGCGATACATCGGACTGTACAAGCCGATTGCCAAACTGATGATGGATGATGTTGAAGGAGCTAACACTGTGATCACTGATGATCTGAGTGAAGCAGCTGACATCCAGCCAAACGCGCTCAGAGACGAATCAGTTGACACTGTTCTCACGACAACAGTCACTGGGTTTCGAAGACAGAAAGGTCGATTTTCACTTGCAAACTGGACGGGTGGACAAGTCGTGGATATTGTTCGACAGTGGACCTTGCGCGAATTTTTGTTGTCCGGAATGGTTTGCTCCGGACTACCCTGTGTTGCCGTTGAATGAAAGTGCGCCGTCACCGCGGAGCTTGTCTGGAAAGACGCTGGATGTGCAAGGTAGAAAGATTGTGCAGCTTGATTACGGCAATAGCCACTCGGCTAAGTGTACAATTCTACGTGTGCACTGGGATACCGTTCCCACTGGTGAAAGAAGAGTGAGCCTCGACCCTATGATCCACTGATTGGCCGAGTGGAGCCAGCAAATGCTGATCTTGCCGAAATGGATGTTCCAGCTGAATCACTGGCGAATAAGGCACCTGAAAAGGTGAACGAAGATCCAGAAGAGGTGGACAGGCAGGTGAGAGTGAGTCGGACTGTTGAGGCACACGAGCTTGAGAATGCCTTGTGTTCACTGTCTCAAGAAGGAAGGAACTTCTCTGGGGATACCGAGCCACACTGCCCGGCACAGGTGGAGTGGCGCTTGATGGGGCACACGATGGCCCCTGAACCAATGCTATGGCGGTGGACTGGAGCATAGCTCTTCCGCTTGGGATTGGTTGTATGAGGAAGATGATGGCGAAATGCCGAATAGAATGCCTGGCATGGTCCCAGCAGCAGCTCGACTGCCCAACCAGTGGCACTGATATCGCCATCGTACAGAGCACCAATGCCCTGAAGCCCGGCGCGGAGATTGTCCGGAGGATGAATGCCAAAGGCACGAACTAAGGCCGCGAGTGAGCCCGGAATGAATTTAGGAGTGCAAAAGCAATGCCGCATGTTTTGCAGTGTGAAGTCTTTGTTGACATGTTGAATTGATGTTTTCTGTGGATTGCAGAGACTGAAGTTCTCGGGTTCAATGATGCATGGAGGAAAGCCCGACTGCGCAAGATTGCCTGTACAGTGCAATGCGCCTCCGAATGTCACGTGCACAGGACCCCAGCCAAAATGTGCTGACTGTAGTACTGTAGCCAATGGTCCTTGAAGCTTTTGTTTCGAATGTTTTGTGATTGCTTCGCGACTGCTGCCGTGTAGTTGTGTAAGACGGATCTTCGATTGAAGTCAGGATCAAGTTCTGTGGTAAACTAACATGAGCCCAATGTACCCTTGAATGTTCACGATGCATTTATGAATGTTACGACTGCTACGATGCCGGATTGCATTGGCTCAAGATCACTGAGGACTGGCTTGCTCCCTCCCTCCCTCCCTCCCTCCATCCATCCATCCCCACATACATACCCGCATGCCTGCGTGCATGCATGCATGCATGCATGCATGCAGGCCTGCATGCATGCATACCTACATGCTTACATGCCTACATACATATTTTATAACATGCATGTATGCGTGCGTACCTTCAGACATACATTTGGGTGACACATTTGGTCCTCATTTGGTATGTGTATGTGTTAAACCACGGGACGAACATCAAGCGTCAGAGTGCAACTTGGGGCGCAACATCGCCTGATCCGATCCTCAATCCTCACAGGAATTGACAGTTAACTGGGAACTTAATTGTTCAGACTTCTGTTTGCTTGAGCTGGTGCTTATAGCAGCCCATGCAATGGGTGCCATAGCAGCAAGCAAGATAACACTCGGGCTACGCTGTCGGGCTCTAGTCAACTCGACATGTTCTCGGAGCTCGTTGCTGTCGTAGGGTTTCGTGGCCTTCCCGCTGTGCCTTCTGCGGTTTCAAGGTACTCCTGATGATCGAAGCTGGGCTTCATGTCGATATGGAGTCTAAGCTGCATCGGGCTGACATGGCAGTGCGGAGTGCCCATGAGGCCAACATGTTTAGAAACAGATTGACCAGAGAAAGCATATGGCATCGGTGGGAGCACCCTCCCACTGCAGTGACGTAGTCCAAGTGAATTTCCGTCCGCACACGTAAAGATGCTACCACATGCCCCGCAGCATCCTCGAACGGGAAAGGAGATGATACAGATTGTCGGCTTGCGAGCCCTGGCTGTTGGTCTCATCGGCTCCTTCCTGCCGATGGGCCTAGGCGCGACTAAGTTCCTCCTGTGCAGCTTTGCCACAAATTGATGTTTGAAGAATGTGCAGACATCCCCGACAGGCATGCTTGTGGCTGGGTCCTTACCTCTGCTTCCGAGAGTTTACCTGCGTGTCCCGTAAACTGGGATCATGTGGGATCCCTATATATATATATCTATATCTATATCTTGTGTGTGTGTGTGTGTCCCTGTGCGCACGAATGACGGCACTCCGACCAGGGCCCCTTTTTCGCAAAACTGAGGCGTCATTTGCTCTGGGACTTGACCCGATGGCAGCTTTTGCAATCGGAGCGGCCATGGCTACCATGCTGCTTGCTTGAGACAGCCGAGCTACAGCATGCGCATACATGCAGAGGGCCCTGACTGCAGCTGAAAAAAGAGAATCCAGGTCGACGGGGATTGCCCTGAATGTCATGAAGGCTGGTGGCATGCTCAACCAGCCAACTGGGCAGCTGGTGCTGGCTGCCGCGACAGTGAACGATGCCCGGCATTGACAAGCTAGAGCAACTGGTCAGGGCCGAGATGCAACTGGTACCTTACTTGGCTCTGAAGCAGAGTTTGCCCGGCGGTTTTTGCAGCCGCTGGAAACAACTAGGCAAACTCGACACATCATCTACCTGCAACGCACGCTGCTTATCAGCGTGAGTGGCTTTCGGAGGGCAGTACAAAGAAGCAAGGGTTCGATCGTTATCACACACTACCACATTTGCAGCATCAGGGTGAGAATCACTTTCACACCCGAAGCTGTAGCAAAGCACACAGCGACTGAGCTGAATCACTCCTTGCTTTGGGCGACAGTGGTGGGATCCGGACAGGTGGCTCTCTCAGAGAGCGTCTCTTTCGAGGAGCATGTAAGACAAAACTTTCGCCTGCTGCAGTTTCTACTGAGGAGTTGGTATGTATTGGGTTGATCACAGAAATCGATGCAATTGTGGCCGGTGGGCCCTGGCAGAGCTATGCCCCTTGGAAAGGTCAGGGAGGTTCTTCGTCGTCGAAAGACGTTTTCAATCCCCTGCGGCTGAAGACATAATTCGCATGCGATGTCAAAATGTGTTGGCGCTCCAACACGCAAGATATGTCCACCTGATTTATGAGGTCCTGCCGCTGGTGCACCTTGGCACGTCCTGCCTTGGTTCATTGCAGTTCCGTTGTTTCCTGTGCAAAAGGTAGTACCCAGGTGTGAAAGAGATGAAGACCCAGGGGTGCACGAACACAACCTCCGCTTCGGATAGCTTGGGGATTGCACTCTCGCTTGACAGTTCGCACGACCAGAACCAGGACTCTTGTGAAATTTGCATAAACAGGCTTTTGCAAGACATGTCAGAGAGAGAACTTCAGGGATTCATGGAAGGGAAGCCCCCTGGAGATGGTGACCATGGGCTTGTGTTTTGCGACACGCTTGAGGCTACTTGTGTCTCTTTTAGATCTGGTTGGCTTCATCAGCCGACATTCAGGATCATGCTTCTGCTGGTGGGTTTCATGAGCTTTGTTGCCGTGAAACTCGTGCCTTGCTTGCTAGACAAGGCTGGGCTCACATGCTTCGCGACAAGAGTGTCTGGAGTTTGAGCGAGCATAGAGGTCAATGCAGCTAATGCAGCCCATGAGTCGTAGGTCCACCAGAGATTTGGCAAACAGACCTTCACAGGTGATTTTGCCGCGAATTGCCAAAGGCAATCGCGAGAATTTGGTTTTGGGCATGCTTCTCGTGTGCGGCTCAGACCTGCCAAAAGAGCCGTTGAAGAATGTTGGCGTTCCATATTCCAGTTCAAGGTGGCTACTGCCGTGTACATGCCCTTGCTACTTGGCTTCACCGTAGCAGCGTGGAGCTCGTTGTCTTGTGGAATGGTGCTCTGGTGCTTGCAGGTGCAAGTACACAGGCTCCTCGGCGCTCCTTGGCGCCTTCTTAGCCGGATTCTGCTTCTGCACAGAGACTTGGCGCATCTAGGCTCAAATACTGAGCTTCGGAAGTCCCATAAGATAGTTTTGCGGCCCAGGACGAGCACGTGCACCACACCTGGAACCGCCAGGTCAAGCGCATTGCTACGTTTCTAATGCGCTTCTTCTTCGCTTGCAGCATCGGCTTCACGATCCGAGTCTGCACTCTCAATCCCGGGTCTGCGGAACCCTAAACCCTAGGCCCCTGCCATGCCTGCGAGAGCCAGTGTGTGAGTCGAAACCCAAGGCCGCACCCTACTCTTCGGATGTTCGGAAAAAGACCCCAGGCCCAGTAATTGAGTGACACACCAGAAATCGTGCTCAGGATCCCTGTCGAAGACTTCGGTGACCGAGAAGTTTGGGGGACAGCGCTTGCGTTGTTCGGGCGGCTTGTCGAAGATCATGTCGTTCTCGAAACATGCATTAGAGGGTTCTGTTGCTTTAGCCCAGTCCGGGCATGCGCGCTTGCACCGCACGCCCCCAGCCCGTGCTTGCCTCTTCGAGCCAACGCAGAAACGGAGTTGTCCAGCACGCAAAAAAAATCCAAACAGTTGCCAAAAGAAGCGGAGCCGCATGCAAGCAGCCTGTCAGACCCGTCACCTTCCACAATCTTGCACGCGTAGTTCCCGGACGTTTCTTGGCACTGCGCAGCTTCAGCCTAAACCGACAGGACCATGTATTCGGACTCCGATTGTAGCTCGTCTCCCTGCAGCGTGGATGGGCCTGCGATGCCTGGGCCGTTGCTTAGGTGCATCCTGGGCAAGCTTGCCATGGGCATCTTTGCACTCCCGCTGACCAAGAACGAGTTCCTCACTCTGAGCTTTGCCTGGGGAAGCTGGGGTGAGTTCTCCTTCATCCTTGCGCTGCGAGCTGTTCGAGGAAACCTGCTGGAGGGAGACCAGGCCGCAAAGATCAAAGCGATTCGTGTCGGACGTGTCGGATGGAGAGAGAAAGAGGCAAAGAGGCGTAAGGGATGCCAGGTTCCGAGCTCATTCGGTCAATAGCCGAGGCAGGAATTACAGCTCCTTGGTCCTGGCGGCTGCTTGGATGAACCGTACTGATTCTGACAGAAGATTGCAGCAGACAAGGACAGATGCTTCCGAGGTGTTGATATCTATCATCATTTGTCCAACGGCGCTGCGCTGTGTTCTGACACGGAGTGCCAGGGAAGCGAACGCATGCATTGAGCTTGCAAAGCGTCCTGACCGCAATTCTTTGCTTCTCTTTGCATTTCCGCATGTGTGCCACAGCCAGCACAAACTGCTTCCGTGTTGCCAGGTCGGCTAGCTGATGCTAGCTGCTACACACATGCTCGAGGGTTCCTGCTCGGCACCGTGTTTCCGAGGCATGAGACTGATGTGTGCGAAGAGGGGAAGGTTCATAATGCTACTTGGCTCCTAGCAGTTCGGACCCAAATCACAGCCAAGCCAGAAAAAGTGCCCTTGTGCTGAGGTTTACTATTGCTTGCAGACGCGATCCTGTGCCCAGTGGGGCCAGCAAGGCAGTGACACGAGACGCCGGGGCGATATGTGCAGGTGTTGCAGACGTCGTTTGACTCTGCAGGTGCTTTGCTGTCAGTGCTGGGTGAGGCCAGGTATTTGGGCACACAGGGTGCGCCATGCCAGCTTTTGTCATTGTTGCTGTAGGTGGACTGCAAGATCGTGGACTTCCGTTCGTTTCATCCATTCCACCATGTGGGAACACAGCACATCGTCAACGAGCTTTACCTGAAAGACATGCGCTTGCAGTTGGCGCTTTGGTTGCGACATGGTTTTGCAACGGTCCGTCGACTGTACTCGGTGGATCTGGTTGTATCAGCAATCCTACAACAGTAGCCTTGACCCGAGGCACTTGCAGATCAGCTTGATCCAACAGACCAACATAAGCTGGACGGCCGTGACGGGACTGCAGACGCATGGAACATGCATGTCAGGATGTTACGTGCCGATGCCCAGCAAGGAACTGCCGAGATCCTTTCCGAGATTTTGAGAGCGCTGCACGACGCTGATGCTCGGCAGAAGCTGCACGCAACTGCGATCACTGTTGAGTTTATGTGTGTTTACAACTTGCAGATGTTTTGCTTCAAGGAAGTCAAAATCTTCAGAGTCTTGGCGCATAACTGCCACACAGTCATGAGACATAAGAATTTGTGCCTTGTTCGTGCGGTGTTTCGAAGCCAAGGATGGCAGCCGGGCTGTGGCACTGTCGATCTGATCCAGGAAGTGCATCATCCAGGAAACGTCCCTTGCATGGCAGGCCAGTCGGATTGCAGTGTTTGCATTGGCACTTGGAGTCAAGACCGTGCCGTTGCACGTGCTGACTGATCTGGGTAGCTGCAGAGTGTTCGAATGGGGGGATCACAATCGTTGGGAACAGCCTCGGCTGTTCTTCTTCGGACGTGAATGCCAACCGTAACGGTACCGCAGGCATGTAAGGCCTACCCCATACAGTCCTAATCCAACTGTAAACATCGCCCCCGCCGAAGCCTCTTTCCGAAGCATGCAGAGAAATGTAAATGAGCCTGGAAGCTTGTAGCTTGTAGATGGTCCCGACAACCTTGAGGCGATCCTTCGGGCGAGCCACCCGTGCATTCCATCAGCGCCTTTGCTGAGTTATCTACAGAGCAAGCGTAGCTGGCGGAGCTACAATGACAGTGATGACAGTCTTAGTGGCCGAATTATGATGACATGGGGTTTAGAATTCAACAAATGGTGACGTGGTCACCGGCTGGCTCACAGGAAGAGATGGGAGCTTCCACGAGCAGCTGGCAGCCCAGCGAGCCCACGTCGCAATGGAACGTTCCATGAGGCCAGGGTGTAAGATTTAAGACAGACAACTATAACGAAGACACGAAGCCTGCCACTGCGATATTAAACTAGGTCCCAGACTTCGCAGCGAGCCAGACTCACTACAGATTAGGTGACTTAGACCACCACAAGACATTCAATCCAGTGGAAATGTGAGTGCGATGTTTTGCTTATCTTGCGAGACCAAGCATCAAAGATCACAGGTCTCCCCCAGAACTGATGTCCTTGAAAAGCCATGCTGGGTGTTTTCTAGAACTGGGAACCCTTTGAGCGGATAAAATCAGTCCCGTTGCTCCTAGCCTTGCAGATAGCTTGCAATCCTAACAGTAGGACGTACGAAACGAAGAAGACAAAGAGGAGAAGAAGGAAGGAGTTTTCAGCCAAAGACCCCATGTGATAATTTGCTTGAGACCTTGCGTTTGCTTCATCACTTCTCAACATCGTGTGGTAGCGTAACCCAGAGGTGGCACCAGACTGAAGCGACGCGAGCTCTTGACGACTATTGCTACCCAGGCACGCTAAAGAATGGTTACATGTATTTGCGTACGGTGTGCTCCTTGATCACGACCCGTCGGTGTAGGCACCCCACGAGCTCATCATGAGCTCGATGGCTATGTCCACACGGGCGCCCACGATGCTTTCGACTTGTCGCCACTGGGCCAGTGCACATTGGAGTCGAGCCGTCGCGCACATTCTACTTTAGATTCTTTTGTGCAGTGGTAGTGTTTTATCTGTCGTTAATGTTGAAGCACTACAAGCCCAGTTCACGCAGGGTTGCCGTACTTTGTGTCGCTGCAGCTTTGTCCCAAGGGGGGGAATCCTGTCTTGGCTAAGAGTCTTGCGGCTGTGCTTGCATGGATTGACGTTCTTGTGTGTAGAATTTAGAAGTCACGGGCTCACCGAGGTCTGTCAACGGCTCGGACGGCAGAGGCGCAGACACAGGTGGGCAAAGAGCCCACTGGGGGTTGACTTTTCAGCGATGCTTGAGTCTGAACTTGGAGCTTGCAATGTCAGTCTCAGAAGGGAAGGGACGTGTGATATTTTGTGAAACGTCAGGCTCAGACAGTGCATCCCGGACCTCAAGCACATCGTTTTCCAACACCGATGATGAGCCGTCTCAAGTCTGATTGGCCCAACGACTGCCAGTCAGTAGCCGAGCAAGGTTCTCGATCTTCCAGTGGGCGCGGATCAACACAATTCGTTGTTGCATCCCACTGAGACTTGCCAGCGGATAGTAGAGTGAATTCCATGTCAAGTACAGAGTGGCGGGGGAAAGCAGCCAAAGTGCTGATGCAGCTCAATCTGTCAGAAGCTGGCCTCTGCTATCGGTGCATATGAGGGTGGTGATTTTCTGTGCCGGATTTCCCCAAGCTCAGTCAGAGCTCACATTATTGTGCTTTTGGTTGTCGGTGCAGGTGCATAAGAATGCAACCTGGCTGCCGAAACTTCCTGTACAGCCACAGCACCCACGAATGTTTGTCAAACATCTTTGCTTCTGCCGGTGTTGGATATATGAATTATATGATATGGAGACAGATTGACATGTGAATGCCAGCAGCTTGATATGAAATCGGCAGTACAGATGGCTCTGTTTGGCGGCAGCCCTCGGCCCACCCGAAGTGTGGCGGTGGGCGCAAGGTGCATGAAGACCCCAGAAAGACTCCGGCAGCATGGGCTGCTTCCATCCTCGTTTCGGGCAAAAGGTCCGTGTGCACCGTGCCATGGCGGGGCTTGTGGATTCCAAGCTGGCGCTGAGGTTTCGGATGCTGTCGGCGACCTGCAGCGACAAGGAGGTGCTCTTGGAAGACCCTGGCTTTGACATGAGTTGATGGGTTCTGCCCACCCGGGTCCTTGAGTCTCTTGAGTCCTTGTTGGTCAGTGTTGTATGCTCCATTGCTGCAGCTACGGCCGCTCGAGTGAAGGTTTTAGTGCCGTTTAATGAGCGGAATCTACCGGCCGGGGCAAGTGCGACGGCCCCTGACATCAGCTGTCTTGAGACCATGCTCACCGCTTCTCTCCGATTCTGCCTCAAACTGTCTCCATAGGGCACGATCACAGCCGCTGGCTCTCGGGGCCACAACCGGATCTTTTGATTTCCGGAGGCTTCAGGAGCCCCTGGTCCTCCCTACACCCAAGAGGGGCAAGGGCCTCTTGAGTCCTCCGCTTGGGGGGCGACCTAAGAGCCGGAACTCTCCGACGGCTGGTGTCCTGCAGGAGAACAGCCGGGCCGAAAGCTGTGCAGCCGAGCTAGAGCGTGCTTTGAGGAACGGAGCGCATGGGTCACCTTCAGAACGCGATGATGCCCGTGTGACAGAGTTCGAGAGCCCGGGTGATCTGGCAGAGGTGATCAGTCTGCGAGACAAGTTCCACCAGGACTGACCCGAGAGCCATGAACCAATTGATACGGTACGAGTAGTGAGTAGTGTTACCACTCTTACGAGGTTTAAACAGACAACCCGCGGGCTCCAGGACGTTGCGAGCATGACTAGCAAGCTGGAATACCTGGCGAAGCACTCCCGGCTGGAGCATTTGTCCGAAAGCAGCAAGAAGGACAGGGAAGCGGAGCGAGTCAAACTCGAAGAGCGACGAATCGAATTGGAGCGTCGAGCCCGACAGCGGGAACGCGTCTCGCGCGACCCTCGCAAGAATGTGGCCATCAAGGTGGAAAACAGGCGGAAATTTGGATGGGAGAGCTGGAACCCGATTGCGGAAAGCATTCCCATTTGCGAAGTGGATGTTGGTTGGAAGAGCGGAAAGAAAGTTGACTTAGTTGATGCTGCTACCCTCACAGCACAATGCAAGCAGCTTCGCCGCGGTGCCGTCTCTCTCAACGATCTTCTGGCGAAGCCGCGCCAGACGAAAGGCCACGGAAGCAATGCAACTTGTCCCAATTCAGCACTTGCAAGGCTTGCAAGCTAACAGGTGGCTCTGCGGCTGGCTCAAGCCACTAGTACATTAGTTTTTAAGTGCTTTCAGTAATATGAAATGTAGCAATCGGCTGCCGCTACCACCACAACCGCATGTACTGAGTGCATGAGATTTCATGGATATCTGGGGAAGCAGCTCTCTGGGAATAAGGTGTATTCTCACACCTGTGCAAATAGCCCAGATGACTTGCGTGCACCTATTCGCAACCGGATTCTGGTGTAAGTTTTAAATTCACATATGATCAGGAAACATGCAACAGTTCTGTTCGCGTTGCGTCGAATGCACCAGGGCACCGTCTTGGCTCGAACAAGCACCATGCTCCAGCTGTCGCCTTCCGCCAAGCGGCGCGGCCGACGCGCGGGCGGTGATGCCCGCAGACATCATCTGCACCCAGAGGTTGCAGCGCCTGCGGGATCTGCTGGGGAGTCTTGGGCCGCAGTGGGCACTCGTGGCCCATGCCATGGACCCAAATTCAAGGTAAGAGTCACCCATGACCGCAGGAACACCATGGAACACCACACATGTAAGCTTTGGCCCTTGGATCTATTTGTACTTCGATTCGGGACCGATGCTACATACTAGGGTGAACTGTTGGAAGCTCGCACGACCTGCATCAAACTCGACTAGACGACTAGACCCTCTCCGACACCCAGGCAGAGGCGAAGCATACTCACCCTCACAGATGCCCTCGTCAGGAGTACTACGTGCAGGACGAGGCGCTTCGCTACCACCGCGTTCCCAAAGCTGCACGGGTACAGGCCGAGTTGACGCATGCGGCCGCCAGTTTGGGAGATCTGTTGCCAGCCAGTCCTGGGTCCATCGTTCTTGATCTGGGGGCTGGAGGTGGCCTCAGCACTCTCAGTTTTCAGGCTTTGGCTGCAAGCAGACCCGGCACGCCTCCTTACATTCTCAGCTTTGACACCAGCTTGCACATGCTTGCGACGACAACGCAGATTCACGAGTCTGCGCTGGTCGGAATCCGAGTGCCGAGCATGTCGGCAGACAGAGGCGTAGAAGCCGGACATGTCGATATCAGCGAGGGCTTGCAGTGGATTTCTAGACGTGGTGATCGAATACTGGCAGACATGTCACAGCCACTCCCGCTTCGTGAGGGTGTTGCCGATGCTGTGCTCTCAATTAGCGCAGTACAGTGGTTGCTTGAGCCCCGGCCAGACCGGTCAGAGGCAGAGTCGCACTCAGCAGAGACACCTTCGGTGCCACAAAGGAAGCTCACCAAGCTGTTCACATCTCTTCGCACGGTGACGGCAGACACTGCCAAATTGGCAATGCAGTTCTACCCACCCAAAGGAGGCCACGACTTCGGAGCCAGAGCTTTGCGAGACTCTGCAAGACAAGCTCAGTGGACCGACGTAGCAGTTCTTCTGGATTTCCCTCACCATCCGTCTTCATTGGCGAAGAAGTGGTTTCTGACAGCAAGATGTCGAGATGGCGATCGACAGACGAACCCACTGCAGCCAAGGTGGTGTGCTTTGTGCTGGCCAGTTGTGGTCGCTGGGTGTGTGTTGCAGAGCTCATGTAGGCAAAGGCCAACTGGGAAGGTTCTTTGCGATCGCGCAGAGCAGCAGCATGCCGAACTGGCTCTGCGCTTGGTGAGGTGCGGGCGGCGACTACAAGCAAGTGAGGGGGCCGAGGGGGACGATGCGGCGCGGAAGATCCAAGAGCGGTTGCAGCAGCAGCTGCACCCGCTGCAGTTGGAGCTGGCTCGTGGCCTCTTCCAGGCACTCGAGGCATGCAGGCAGCTCGAGGCGACGGAGACGGTCGCGGGAGTCGAGGCAGAGGCAGAAGAGGATGAAGGCCGGAACTGCGCGCAACACGAGGCGAAGCGCGCCAAGGCCGGTCCTCAGACGAGGACGGAGCTGCGAAGCGCCGTCGTGCGCTGCTTGCCTCAGTTGTTACCTGTGCTCCATTCGGCGCCGAGCCAATGCTGGCAGCAACCTCCGCCACCGCTGGCGCAGGCACAGTCGTCGCAGGTGGAGGACCTTGCCCACGGCCTTTAAAATCGATTGTCGGGAGTCGCATGCTTTCTTGCTGGTGCAATGGCCGATGAGAGACTCGCCTCAACATCATGGTACGCAAGTGTGGAGATCAAAACGATGATGACGAAGCTCTGTGACGCCGCACGTCCTTGCGCAAAGAGCGCTTTCGTCCGCTCGGATGCCAGATCTTGGAGTGCTTGTACCCTTCACGGAGGCGACAGCTAGCTGCTGTGAAGGCCTGGTACACAGCACGCTGAGTCTGAGGCACTGACCTCGGCGAAGGAGGAAGTGTGAAGTCGTGAAGAAGCCGTGGCACCCAGAGGTCTCCGAGTGATAGCTGACTGCACCCTGCTTGCTTGCAAAAAAAACAAGGGCTGCGCTAGTTCGAAAGCCCCTTCACAGCTGGGCAAAAGTTGCACTGCAAGGTAGCTTGGCCCTGCAGCCGCTGATGGTGGCGGCTGCTCAGAACGAGACTTTCTGACTTTCCCCTGAATAGCACACATAATAGCATGTGGTCCCTTGAAGCAGAATGTTCAAGGTCTGCCATTCTTCTTGCACCTAGTTGTGGCTACCTGGAGTTCCATCCAGGAGCCCAGCAAGCAGCCAACAACCGCTGTTTGCTTCCTGCCCATGTAGCTACCCTTAGAATCCTCGAGACCCTTGAGTAAATGAATCTGAATCTCGTTTTGCTGTTCTTTTCCATTGGCTCACGTGCCACTGCGGACTGCAACCCTGCCTGATTAGCCACGCCTTAGCTTTCTGTCTTGCCTGCAGCCTCCGTAAATGCGGATTCGGTTGCAGACAGGCCCGCCCTTGTGATGTCTCAAGGCTTTTGCAGAAAGAGCCGAGTATGGTTGCCCCTTGAAGCGCATGCTTCTGTCTTCCCTCGTTCGTCGGGGGTCCAGGTCTCAGCGTGGCTGCAGGCCCTGGCGCTAGCCTGCCTTTTCGGTTGCTACATTCGTGTTGCTTCAATGCTGCTGTGTTGTGTAGCTGATTGAAAGCAGTGATCGTCGCCCAGTGGCCCGAGGTAGTTTCAGCTTAGCCGGAGCTAGCACTTGGATGCACAGTCAGCTGTGCAGAAGATAGGAGGGGGAATGCTTTTGAATTCCACGATGAAGCTCGGCTACTTGGAGGGCTCTATGCTGGACGATCTTGGCATACGTGCGGAGTCCCGCCGCCCAACACTGAAACTAGATGAAAAGGGCTTTGAGGTCTCAGGGCCACGACCCAGCAGAACATCCTTACGGCCAGGCAGCAACCAGAGCCAAAGGGGTTTCCAGAAGGAAACACTGAACTCATTGAGCCGGAGCACATCCAAAGACAGGCCAGCATCGCAAGGACGAGTGTCCCTGAAGGGGACCCGTGAAAACAAGCTGCAGCGATCCTTTTCAAGGGAAGCATCACTTAATCCGAGCACGCCTGGAGCAGTCGAAGCGGAGCCTGGGCCGAGTTGGCAGGCTTTGGAGTGGACGCGCCCGCCTCAAAAAGATGTTCGCAGAGAAGGGGCTTCGGTGTACTCTGTTAGCACGCCTGCCACACAGGGCGCCAGAGAGCACCAGCCACACCTTGTGCGCACGACTCGCATAGAGCCAGCGGCCAAGGGATATGCGAACAAGCGTCCGCCTGTGCCTCCAAAGAAGGCTGAGCAGATCGTTGTGACCGAGAAAGACTTGCGTCGCTGCGGCAGTGACCTGCAGAAGCTACGCGAGTGTAGCATTAGCACGCCATCGAAGCCCATGGAGGTGGTGATGAAACCAGCTCCCGTCGAAGAAACTCAGAAGTTCGAGCTTTCCTTCAAGAGCAACTTCGCGAAAATCTGCCGTGAAAGCGCCGACCCACGGGATCCCTGGGAGGGCGTGGGCCACCCCGACGAGCTCCGGGAGCTGACTGTGGAAGATCTCGTCCTGAACCAGGCCAGGAGAGGAGGCAACTTAATTTAAGTCAATATACTGGGGATCTACAGTGAATAATATGGTCTCCTTAGTATGGCAACTTAAATTATAGCCCTTAGCAGAGGCGGAGGAGGCTCTTTTCGTTTTTTTTTGATTCTGCCTCGGCAGGTCTACATCCACGCGCTCTCCCCGCGGAAGATCGAGTTCGATGTAAATAGCTCCCCAGAGCAGGGGACAAGGAAGCCCAAGCTGTTGCGGAGTGCCAGCGCTTCGACACGGGCTCCTTGGCTTGCGAAAAAAGCATAGCCTGCAAGTTTGGAGTTCAGCAGCCCGGGTGTTTTTTTGCTGAGGCCAGCTCTGCAGATGTTGCGTTACAGACCTGGCCGACGGATGATCGTCGCGAGGGCTTCAGCCGGCGGGTGCCACGAGTGCGCCCCCGGTCTCTCGGCCGAAGTGGAACTCCGTAGCACTTCGCTCCGTGACTATATGACTAGTGATGACTAGTGGATCTAGTGGGTAGAATCTGCTCCTGCGCAACGAAGCGAAAGGCAAACAGATTCAGATGCTGGGGCCTCTGAAGACTCCAAGAGACTCTGAGACTCCACCAAGAGCAAGCATTGGGACAGCAAACGGCAGCAACTCCCGCGAGAAGCCACAGACGGTCACTAGTGATTGATAGCGTTTTGACAGGTACGACCCTGTTGAGCCTCAACCGAAGTTGCTGTAGTTGCAGATCTCAGCGACATCGGCTTTCGACTTGAGACTCTTTAGGCCACACGAGGGACTAGCAGCCACGGGACCCCAGTCGCCTGAAGGCCTGGTCTTCCACCAGCGGGCGGGAAGCGGGCCTCCAGCGTCCCACGAGATCCTTGGCAAAATGACCTCTTGTCCCCGTCTTTCTCACTTCCAGACTGCCATGGCGAGGACTCCATGGAAGGGGCCGAGGGCGGCAAGGCCACAAGGCCAGGGGCGAAGTAGCCTGCGGCCTGTAGTCTAGTTGCAGTTGAGCCCCACGGTACAGGCCTGAGGGCCAGGGCCCAATTCAGCCGATCAGCACCGACACTCCCCGAACGGCTCGGGAAGACGCAACTTGCATTCAACGAAGCTGTAGGCTGCACCATGCTTCTACCTCCTTAAAGCCTTAACCTTTCTCTTGTTTGCAGATTTTGTGATCCCAGGAGACTCCGCCACACAAGCGAGCCATGAGGAGCTTTCTGAAGGGCGCCGCGAGCCGTGGGGAGACGCGAGCTGCCCATGCCTCAGGGCAGCTGAGCCGGGGGCGGTTTTTGCAGAGAGCGCTGTTAATAGTTGTTACAAGCCGCATGTTGTTGAGAAACTTGGTCCCACCGTGCCGAAGCCATTTTCAGAAAATCCGATCAGTGCGAAGGTTTCAGGCATATCTCTTCTTCCAAACGGGATGGCGGCCTCAAAGTGGGTGTACGACTTTGGGGAGGGCAAGGCGGACGGCCGCGCCGAGATGAAGAATCTCCTTGGCGGGAAAGGTGCAAACCTTGCAGAGATGGCGGCGATTGGCCTTCCTGTTCCCCCGGGATTCACGCTGACCACGGAGATCTGCACCTACTTCTACGAGCATGGCTGTACCTACCCGAAGGAGTTGAAGACTCAGGTCCAGCAGGCCTTGGCCTTGGTGGAGTCGCGCACGGGCCGCAAGTTCGGAGATGCCACGAACCCTTTGTTGGTCTCTGTGCGCTCCGGGGCTCGGGCCTCAATGCCGGGAATGATGGACACAGTGCTCAACCTTGGCCTCAACGACGTCACGGTGGAAAGCCTTGCGAAGCAGTCGGGGGACCGCCGCTTCGCCTTCGACAGCTACCGCCGGTTTCTTTGACCATGCGGAACAACGTTAATGTTTTCATGAATATTGAAATTCCAAGAATAAAATTGACAAATGGGTTTCAGCGAAACTCAGGTTCGTGCAAATGTACTCTGATGTGGTGCTGAACATAGAACTCAGCCACTTCGAGAAACTGCTGGACCGGGCGAAGGAGAGATGGGGCAATCGTCACGTCTATACTGCTCCCCTACAAACCTAGTGGCCTGCAGCCTCCGCAGGAGAAGCGCGGCGTGCGGCTCGACAATGAGCTGTTGACAGAAGACCTGGAAAACCTCACCAAGGCTCGAAACCCTTTCTGCTTTGCCGCAGATTGGACCGAAGCTTTTTTTCGTAAATGAGTTCGCCAGTGTTACGCCAAAAAGCAGAATACCCGGTTTTTAAGTTGCCACTTGAGAAGCCGACCTTGCGAAGGCTTACAAAGCTCGCGTGGAGCTGGAACTGGGTCACGAACTGAGTTTGTTTCCAGAGTGGTCAAACCGCTGAACCGTCTAAATTTGCGCAACTTGGGCAGACCTTGCTACAGACTGCGACTGGAGTTCGTCATAGCCATGTTGTTTTGCAGTGTCCTGTTTCAGAGAAGCGGCTCCTCGATACCGTTTTCGAAGACTTTAAGGTCGCGAGTTTCCAGAGGATCCGCAGGAACAGCTCTGGGGGGCAATCGGCGCGGTCTTCAACTCCTGGATGAACCAGCGCCCTGGTGCTGAGTCGTTGCTTCGGGCTTTGGGCGGCTAGCATTTTTGCTTTGGGCAATGTTGAATTCGTGACATTGTTCGCAACCTTGTTGCATGCTAGCTGCTAGCCATAGTCTCGCCATGGAACGCAGAACTGAGGCGAGCCAAGACGTACAGGCAGCTGCACGACATCCCAGAATCCTGGGGTACCGCTGTCAATGTTCAGGCCATTTAGTTTACAAGATGGTGCAGATGTCATATTTGGCCATGTTTGCCAGAGAATGTCCATGTGTAGAGGTTAGGGATTCGTGGCTCAGTGTTCGGAGTTTTGGACTGAGCGTTTTGTTCAGGCCATGGTCTTTGGAAATATGGGGAACGACTGTGCCACTGGCGTGGCCTTTACGCGCAACCCGTCCAACGGCACCAACGACTTCTATGGTTGCTCCGCCGCACTCAGCTTTTTTTCAGCTTGCTTTTTTTTTGCACAGCTCTGGCACACGAGAAGATCTGTCGGTTCGGGATGATTCTTTCGATGCAAGGCTTATCACTTTTGTTGGCATGTTGATTGCATTTGGTATGACTGGTAGTTGCGTTGCTTGTGTTGGCCTTCTTGGATGTGCATGCAGCGCAGAGCTTGAGGTGAATTCTTGGTCAATGCGCAGGGCGAAGATGTGGTGGCCGGCATCCGCACTCCTCAAGAGTTGACGATCAAAGCACGCCAGTCACATGGAAGTGAGCTTCCTTCTTTGGAAGAGGTGATGCCCAAGGTCTTTCAGGAGCTTATGGACGTCCGCAAGCAGCTGGAGAACCACTTCTTGGACATGCAGGATAGTTTGCTCATGTCAGGGTTATGGCTATGGGTATAGGGTCAGAGTTTAGGATTTAAGTTTAAGGTTCAGGGTTGGGGGTTTCGTATTTAGGTATTGGACGTCCTGTTGCTTCTCGAAAACCAGTGGCATGCAAAGGATATCGAGTTTACG